TGTGAGGGCCACGATATTTATAATATACTTTATTAACGTTTGTTTATAAACTTTAGCACTGATTAATCACTGCAAATCTGTTTCGTTATCACTTGAAGAATAAATGGTAGTGTTGCCCAAAAGTTTTCTGCTGTTCCGCATCGGTTACAGTGCATAGTCTCCCGCGTATTAAGTTTAATCTTCTGAAACCAGCGATGAGGTCCAGGATCTCAGTGGGCAACGTTTAACAATAAAGTCACAAGCAATGCGAAAGCGCAAGTGAAATTCAAGCGACCAATCATAAATTTTAGAGTGTTTGCTTGAAAAATGACGTCTATTTGCAAGAAAGTGCATGAAAACACGTTAATCACGGTGTATTTCTCTGACATGACTTAAAAATACGTTCCAGTTACTATGAGGAGTATCAGTTGCTAAGTTAGACTAGTTTGTGTATATGTAAACACCGAGGTGGCTGCAGATGAGCTGTTTTTACGAATCCTTTATCTCTCTTAACCTACTGTTCACTTTTCCCCAAAAGCCCTCGGTTGAATTACTATGATTTCCAGTAAGAGGATCGACGACTACTTACCAGGGAAATTTGGGTAATAAAACAAATTAAAATAAATGATATGAACTCTAAAACTATCCCTAGTCTTAACTTTACTCTTAATCCTTACCCTAACGAGCCATTATCGCATTGTCCAAACAGTACTTAAAAACGTGATCTGGGTGAAATTTACCGCCTAGCTGGTAAATAGCACTGAAATTTCAGCTGTGATGTAGAAAGGTGCAATTAGCCAACGACTAGCACGCGTTCAAGGTATTTGGAGCGTTCACACTCCTAGGACGCTTTTGCTGAGCTTTGCCTCTCCGCGATCTCGATATTTCATAACTCCCTTAAGGCTTATGTATTCATCGCATTTGTTAACTAAATCACCGCGGAGTTTTTATCCTTAGCTATATGTATATCTGTTAGATATAACTCAACTTAGATTTTATTTTGTTTCACCTAAATAAAACAGGCTGTTGGCATCGATGAAATTGGCTTCTGAACATAAATAGAGTAGACCAGAAGAAAACTGCCCGTGCAATAGCCTTGTTACTGAATTTATGTTAATTATTAGTGTGTGCACTAATATAATTACACAAAAGTGCTAGCAAGCTCCTGCAGTTGTAGCAAAGCAACCTAGCATTAGCATATTAACTGTCACTCAAGATTTAGTGTTTCGCCCGCATAGCGACCACCTTTCTAGTCAAGCAATGTTAGCCAACAAAGGATTAGTTAAGAAAAGAGTGAGGGGTGGTCAAACCCGAACCTGGCATCAGTCCATGAACCCTTCGCCAGTTGGCTTTAATTTCTTGTCAATATATAGATAATACTTCTATATTCCCTAATGTAGCACATTTGTTTTTCAGCAAGCACACTGTTCAGATCGATTCTATTTCTGAAAGGACTATAAATTAAGGTTATGTAATTTGCACAATAAATTTGCCGTTCATGTAAAATCTATATGTGCCTGCACGGTGAGAAATAAACAAACCATCATTAACGGTGGGGAGTGAAAATGATAGAGCAAATAGAAAACGGAGGAGAGCCTCATCACCTCTGTGGAGTCTAATAGATAAGCATATAAAGACTGAGAATTAGGCTTTCGTCATGGACAGCCGCTGGTGATCAATTCCAAATAAGTGAAAATTTATCCAGGAGATGCCTAACTTATCTTGTCAGTGCCCTTTAGTGACTAATTTGTCAGGATTTCTAGGACTCAGGCTAATTTCTAGACGATTTAACTGTTGGCCTGAGAAGGACGATTAACCAACTTTCGGTAGAATAATAATAATAATTTGCTTTATTCCAGAAACAGTACTAGTGGTACAGTGTGGAATTTTCAGCACATATCTACAATGTTTGCATCTAATTTTACAGACATTTGAAATATGTACTAAACAAACAAAAAAATCTGAAGACACCAACGGCAAAAAATCAGGATAAACACATAATAATTATAAATGTGAAAAAGTACAAAAGTCTACCAAAGTCTAATGCAGTGTTTGTGGTGGTAGTGTGAGTAATCCTGAATAATACAAAATTTTTTAAGGTGGTGACTATGGCGTTCACAACCAATGATTGTCAGTTAATATTGCCGAAAAAATAAGAAAAGCAACCACAAAACTAATAATTACATGATGGTTAATGACAGGACAATTTTGTGATACCCATAGTGCTAATATAGTCGGAACCAGTAGATACACAAAAGAAGGAATATAGTAAAGTACAAAAAGTAAGCCAGTGTGAATAATTTAGGTAGCTAAGTATGTTTAAGAAGGAGTTCACTATAGAACACAAAATAAGAGAGAAATAAAAGAGCCTAAAATTATGTTGTTAACAACAAAGCAAGTCATAGGTTTCGCGCTTAACATTGTCTCTGTCACTTAGAACACGGGCCAAGTATGGTATCGTTGAGTTCCTGTACTTGGTTGTAAGAGCATAGATTATTTTATACTGATTTCTGGTTCTACGTGATGAGATACAAGGCGAGAGTTGGGAATAGAGGGGGTTTTGGGGGTCTGAGAGTATGGTTTTATACCATTCTCCGCATGTATTCAGACGCCTTTCAACTAATGTGGTGACGAGCTGACTGAGTTTTACACCACTAGTCCTACTAACTATCTTCAATATCCTTCTCACGATGGTATAGTCCTTTTTCAGTAGCCCAGGAAAGACTAACGGGGAGCAGTAAAGTAGAATAGGTAAGATACCAGAGTTGACAAATTGTGAAAGTAGAGCTTGGGTGATTCCAGATTGTCTAAGTTTCTTAATGTAGTAGGTAAGACAGAACACTTTCTTAGAAATCATTAGGATATGAGATGTCCAAGTAAGGTCGGAAGATTGAACTAGACCGAGGTATTTAGCATTAGACTTAGTTTCAATTTTAGTCCCCTCAATGCAACAGTTTTCATGAGAACTTACTAGTGTTTGTAGATCTCGTTTATGCCTAGGGGAGAAGTCAATAGTCTGGCATTTTGAGGGATTCAGCATGAGACCATTTAGTTTGGAAGAAGATTAAGTTTAGCTTAGAATAAGGATCCTAAACGGAACAACCATGTTTCATACGTAAGTTCAAACTATTGACTCTCTCGAATGAATTCAGATGCTTGCGCTAACTGCCCTACGTTTGAAATTCAGTGTGGATGAAGTGTTTCAGTATTGTTTAAATATGAGACTGATTGGAAATGGAAAGGCTTATTCGTGTGAAGGAATGCTGAGCATAAAGGGTGCAGACATCAGAACCACAGATGGAAATGCTTACCGCGGTGATTTTATGTGAGATGAACTAGCGTGAGAAACGGTAAATTGATTACTAAGTTATCCATCAGAAACACTTTTAGCTAGGTCACACCTTTTATCAGCCCGAATTTGTCATACTCTTGTTTATTAGTGATAACGCATACTGTGGAAGGTAGAGCTGCTGAAGCAGAAGGTTGTCCGCAAGAATAATTGGCTTGCTATGTAAGACAGAATTGTTCAAATTATGGGCATAATTAGTAAAGAAAGTGAGACTGTGACGCTTTCTTGAGCTGTATCAAAATTGATTAGTCTGAGTTTAAAAATCACTATCCTGGACCCAACTATTTTCTGCCTGTTGTTAAGAATTGACTTAAGTTGTCTCAATGGGAGTTTAGACAGGTGATTTCGATGAGGATGAATTTGAAGCAGCTGCACGAAATTTTTCACAAACACCTACCACTATATATTGAGGTATCATTAAATGACAGTAAATAGTCGCTAAGCAATAAGTGTACGACGGGACATAAAGTACTCAATGCCGCAGTGTGCGAAAAATTTCAGATTTTACTGTGAACACTTACGTCATTTCGCCTGACGGCTGTCACACCTCCCTCAACTCAAACTTGCTTATATGATTAAGGTGTGACAATGCTGAAACTAAAGTAGCGTCTGAAGATGTGACGTTGGCACGAGACGCCTGCACTTAACACAAGCAAATTAGACTTGCAGATAATGGTTAAAAGAAGCACACAAGCTGCTATAACCAGATTCAACTACCAGATAACCTGAAATATAAAGATTTCCTCTGTTAGACGTGTCAGAACCCCAAGAGCTAAGTATAAAGAGAGTGTAAATTCAGGACATTAGCATACAGAGCACACATTTTGGTTTGACAACTGTGATTGTAGAATCAAATTTTGCTTCGAATGGTCACATCATTTTTGCTTTGTCCTGTAAGATTTTTTTGGTCTGACGTCTTATGAGTGTGAGTCACTTTTAGGATAACTGTTGCATGCTGTGGCCATAGTCTTTTCATCATACTGGTTTAGACCATAATATAATATAGCATTGTTGGTTTGTGGGTTTTCACGTAGTTTCACTCATATTGTGTTAATTAGCCCGTAAGGGAGGTAAACGACACTGCTTGAACGTCTACCAATCACTTTTCTTTTTGACTTCAACTCAAAGAAACCCACATGATTGTTGTTTGGATATTTTTCCTGCGTTTCGGCCCCATGACAGAACGATTCCTAGGCTCTTTATCCCAGAAAATCAAACTGTTCTTGATGTAGCCTCTTCATCATTGCCGCAGACGACTAATCTGATAGCTGAAGGGGAGACGGTGGGAGCTGTAGTGAATCCACCACTTTCTTTTGTTACATAAAACAGTTATTTTCACTTCAGTATATAAAGTGCTGTTGTAGTTTCATGCCACCCATCATAGTCCTCACAGAAGACGATAGTCGAGTATCTGATGCGATGAATTATAGATACTTTACTTTTCACCGTTCTTAGTGTTTAATCATGGTGTGTATGTAAACATTGGATTCTCTTGTCGCTTTCATTCCATGAAGTAACTCTCTGCTTGTCATAAGTAAAAAGACCAAAGAAAAAAAGGTTCTGCACTATAATATTTAAGTTAAATCTAATTGAAAATCATCACTTTTCTAGTACTTTTCCTTAAGTTTGTTTTATTGCATGAATTTTAATCGAAATCATGTTAAAATCATAGAGGCGGAATTTTAACACTCCTTCGTCTCAAGACATGCCTGTGACCAGTACTACGGAAGCTATCTCAGTATTATTCACCATACTGCATCTTTCCAGTACAGTTGTTAATTGTGCATCAGAATTCAAGTCACAGAACGACCTAGTAGACAATTTGAAAAGCAAGTTTCTGATATATTTTATTTGACATTTTCCTGCAGAAAGTGGAATTGTTTCCTCATTAGATATTGAAAGAGCGATGCGAGATGTTGATCGCAAATTTTTCGTCTCATCGGGTCCTTATGAAAATCGATCACATAGAATTTCACATGGTGGTATGGTCAGTGCGCCATATGTGGTAGGTTAACAGATTCTCCACTCTTGAGGCACTATCATGATCTTGCATAGTAATTAACTTGCATGATACAGTCTGAGAGACACCGTATGCATATCATTTCATGGCAAGAGTCAGAATTTATTCATTCATATGTAATTTCTTAGTCTTATAAAACTATGAAATAGAATATGGTTTGTTACTTTAAGTGAAGCTGGGATACTTGTGCCGTCCACTCTTTGTCTTTATCATAACAGCTTTTCGTACGGCATGTTTTATTTCGGAGAATCCACTGCCTTCAAATAATGCTTGTATTATAGGCGGAATTCTCTTAAACCACCTAATTGATTAATATCTCTTAGCGTAATCATTCAAATGTTTTGGAACACTCAGTCACATGAATAAAACATACAGAGTTAGCTAAATATTTTGGATCCCGGACTGCTGATAAAAATGGAAAGCTTAGATTTTCCGGTTGGTGCCTATTCTAATTCTTTCTTGCTAATAATCTGTGCTTGTTTAATCCTTTCCTGAACGAATCGTTCTAGGATGCAGGCAGCATTTTTGAAAGTAATTAGGCAGGGTTAGTGACTACATTAGAGCCAGCACTCTACATTTTATACTTTTTTGAAAATTCAGAATAGTTCTATATTTCACCGTTCATGAAAAACCGAAGTAACTATCTCACACCTAGAAGTGAGAATTGAAAGTCTTTTTCTTTATCATAGATTTTGAAAGACCTTCTAATGACTCAAAGTAATAGGATATGACAAAATTCTATGAGATTACTGTAGCAAGAGAGTAAAGCTCTTATATATACATATATATTAACTGTCGTACTTAGAGTATCATTGAAAACAACAAAATATGAAAAACTTTGGCGAAAGATCTTGTTATTTATTAGAATCCAGGTATTCTGTATCAATAATTAACATGCTGAATAAGATTATTTTTTCACTTTTATACTAGTGGAAAACCTTAGATTGTTAGTAACACCATGAACAGTCATTGTAATCTCTCTTGCTCACTTACGGTACATATAATTAGCTTCTAACCAATCTTTATAAGATGTATCTGGCTTAACTTTCATTTGCTGCTGCATTCTGTAATTCATGCATTGGTGTTGTTCAGAATGTCATGACACATATGCTTGTAATACTTTGTTTAGGCTATATTATTTGTTCTCATATTTTGATGCTTAGAAGTCTTGCTAAGGATTTTTATACATTTTGATTACACAGGATGCATATGTTTTAGAAGGACTAAGACAGAGTCTTACTGTACGTGCACACGTGTTATGTGTTGGTTGTACCGGTGGATACCTTTTGGCATGCACAGGAATACTGGTGAGTCGTGTTTTATCACAGCAAGATATTAGTAGTCTCGTTTAAATGATAAAATTCTTCGAGAATGAAGTAGCTCTATCTGAATCTATTGGATTCTCAGCATTAAATTAAAATCTTCTCAAACATGTGTATATATTCATCTTCATCATATACTTCATCGCTGTTATCCATACATTTATTTGAACATTTTGCGGTATTTATACCCACATAAAGCGAAATGACGGGCCAGCTACTTCATATTTGATAGGGTTAAATATTCCTCCGAGTAGGTTTTCAATGCATAATATAAGAAAATCTGTTTGCATAATAAACTGCATAAGAAGATTGTTAACCACGATTATTAACATAACTCCCATGTGAATAGTGTTAAAACAAGTTAAAGATGACTGACGAGAGAGTTACAGCTCGATAAAGACTCACTGTTATCCAGATGTATTTTCTATCAGCTGTTCAAAATGTAACATAAAGTAAAGGAATAAAAATATTGATCTTGTTTCTTTTACTACAGTTTACTGTGGAACTGAAGCGTTATTTCCCCGTACTATATAGCTGAGCCAATTCCATTATTTATGAAATAATGTTGCCTGTATGAAATGCGTCGTCTTCATATTTAGGTTTGTCATCCACTTTCGATTTATAGGTCTGTGAAAATGGTAATGTTGGGCTCATACCTCATTCGCTTTACTTCAGCTTTACTCACCCACATCAGCAGCTTTAATTGGCTGACTGCTGAAAGCCATCTTCAAGATTTTCTAACTGGTGTTATTTTTAGCCTGATTGAGATATCTATCAAGTGAAATACGGCCTGCTCAGCAGTTTCTTCTGTCCAGCTTTATGGTTATGATGCATTTCCACTGCAAGACATAGTAATATATTAGGCAATAATGACGGTAGAAGTAAAATGTACGGTTAGAGAGAAAGTCATTTGATGAGATTTTGAATCTGATATGGGACTAGGCTAGAAAAGAATTCGGTGTGATCACATAAATTTAGAGCACCAGTTTTTCGAAGTCTTTAACAGTTGTTTCGAGCCACACATGCAAGTGTAGACCATCCTACTAAGGCACTTGAGACAACAAAAATCACCAGCTACAGTCTCCCTGTGATTTGACTAAAACTTGTCCGCAATCTCTGGGGTGAAGCCTTGTCATCTAGGTTCCAAAACTCCTTACAGTATTGTCTATAGGTTAGTCTATAAGCAAGCGAATAGTGAATATCTGTGCATCCACATAGGTTTGCATTATACCCTCACTTTTAGAAAATGTTACGTCTCTGTTTGCTCTAATGAAGGATTCATAGACTGTGCGATAGTTTTTATTACTTTTTACTACTTCTGAGCAGTAAGGATGCACGACTTTTGATCAACCATTAAATTTTCCATGATTCTGCACAACACATTCGAAATCCTGCAAATGTTGAAACGTGGTCTTGGTTATAGTATGTCAAACTAGTTTTTGTATAAACTGCAGCATGATCCCACTTCGGAACATTTCGGTAATGCGTACTGACACAATGTGTGATGGCATAGTAGAATTCACTACACATTCAATTCATGTGCTGTATATGTATATACATCCATATATATATATATATATATATATATATATGATAAACCAATCAGCTGAAAACAGCTATTTGGAGAAATTCATAAGAAAGCACATAACTAGGGATGTAAGAAAAAATGTTTCGAATTTGCAAATAAGAAGCCACTCTGTATACTGTTGGAATTTGGAGGTGACATACCAGGTTAATAAAGGGTTGACGAGCAAATGAAAGCAATTCAGAGAACTTTTAGTGCTAGTAGATTGCAACTTATATTTTCTACATTCCGGGTTGTCGTGCTGAGTTTGAAAAATGAAGTGCCTAGGCTAGCCAGGTCGTTTTGTGTCTTTTAACCCATCTACTTCCAAAGAATCAGTTGGATTAGCTGTTGCTGTATAAACTTGATTTTTGATGCTCAGAAACATCTACAGATGTGACCAAATAAAGGTTCAACGAAAGCATCAACAGTTCCATATTAGCATTCGTTATCCAGATAGCTCAAAAAACGGTATTGAGGGATGCATTTGTATTGTCCATCTTGTACCAAATAAGCTAACTAAAGCCAACAGGTACCGAGGAGAAAAAGTTATAGCACTTTGGTTAAATTAGCTGGAACTTTCTATAACAGAGAAACACATGCAACCAACACTGTTACCGAGTTCTGTTGTGAAGTCTTTTTTTTCGACATAGAACTTGCACAAATGTCGGCAGTTCATTCGCCACACTCCAAGTAGCAACAAACAAGAGAAGAAATTAGGAGAATGCATAACATACGGTAACAAGTTCAACAAGTATATCAAATAGAAAATGCATGTCACCAATTGTTTCCAACCATTGGTTTTTACCGTCCCGAGGACCCCAACCAGGAAGTCTACACCTTCCTACGTGGCCTGGTTTGACTAACTGTTGTAGATTTCATTGACTGGTGAAGCCATGTTTTGGTTTGACCACCACTAGCTAGCTCTTTTCCAGCCTGACCCTAGTCAGTAACATTGCCCATTGTCGAGGAAGGCGATGACTAGGCATGCATACGTAACACATGTCCTAACCATCACAGTCGATGTAATTTCACACCTCGTCGATTGATTTCCCCTTCTTACCTAGCACTCGACCGATGCTAACTCAATATTGCTCACCTTATTATCCACTTCACATGGAGATAGAATGCAGGCACCTTGATCAAGACAGCTAATCTTTTCATGTCTTCCACTCCGATGGCCAGATCTCACAGCCATAAAGGAGAGGAGGGACTGAGCAGTACAAGCCCTTTGGTCGAAAGTCGGATATCACGTCTACGCCAGAAGCGTGAAGTCTATGAATTCATCGGTTCTGTATAACGGCATTCCTTTTAGGAGTGACCCTGTATGTATCAATTCCATCATATTTCATTCATTATTTCGCAGTAAACTGTACCCGATCCATTCAACTTTGTACCATACACCTGTATCGAAAAACCATATATTTTCACAGCTAACCTTTGGTTACTCACCTGCGCACAGATACAACCTTCTATTCCATTTTCTCTTCATTTTCCTGATATTAACAATAATTATTATTGAGTTTATAATCAAACCGCAGAGAATTCAACTCGAACATGAATCACGAGGATACTTATGCTGTAATCCAGTAATAGTTTACTCACACACACACACACACACCTCGGACTTTCGGATTTATAAAAGGCATCGGTGTTGTCACTAAGATCTATCCTTTCAGTAGTAGTAATAATAATAGACACTATTCCAAACATTATTTTATGCGGAGCGGAATTCTCAGCGCTTACACACTTCAACTACTTTACTCCTTATACTTCTTTGCAACTGTGACATACAGTGATTGACAGTAAAAGATGTGAAAAGGTTAGCCATTTTTGACGACATATGCTTAAGTTTTTTTCTCCCCTGTTAGATGGCATAATAAGGTGAGCAATATTTAGCGTAGGTGTAGAGTGCTAAGTAAGGCAACAAAATTAGTCAATGATGTTGTGAAATTACATCAGTTGAGATGGCTAAGATACGTTTTACCAATGCCAATCCTCCTTGTTCCCTTGATGGGTAATGTTAGCTAAGATAAGATTAAGTCGGAAAACAGTGAGGGATGGTCAAATCAAAACCTGGCATAAATCCATGAAATCTTTGACAGCTGGTTTAAGCCAGCCATGTAGTGAGATGTAGACTGCTTGGTTGGTTGGGGACCTCGGGATGCTAAAGGCTGTTGATGATATGCTTTAATGCCTTTCTGAATGAAGCAGATTCATTCACTCTTTGTGACCTCCCGTGTCCACTAGACCGTCATAGTTTTCCATTTCACTACTCCTCCTTCCTTACACACATTTCTGCACATTATAGTTCGTTTCCTTTCTTCTTTGTACCTATGTGGCAACTTGAACTGCTGTGATTCTGCTCACAGTTCTACGTTGGAACTCAGTCAGTCAGATTGTTGTGCTGCTATATTTTGATTAAACTAGCGTATACGTATATCCTAATACTTCTTCTCGTTTATAATTGTGTCCTAACGTTGTGCTTACTCGACACACACAACGTAAATCAGAAGACACTTGAGAAGGTGTAGGAGTGTGTATTCTCGCCGTAATCAAAATTCAAAACTTGAGCGAGTACAAATGTATCAATTGTTAACACGCAAGATTTAGAGTAATAAACAAATCAAAGTACAATTACACAATGAAAGTATAGTACGATGATGAGTAATAAAATGGGTCACTACAAGATAACCACAAAGGCTTAAGTGAATGAGGACGTTAATACAAATAATAATAATAATGCATAAATGACTCCCAGATACAAGTAGCTGTTTTCTTTGGCAGATCGCAAAGTAGGCTTGTTAGTTTTTTCTGGCATTTTTTTCATTCACAGGGTACGTGGGCAAATTTAACCCTACGAGCAAAAAATTTCATAAAACCACTTTTAGTTTTCTTGGTGAGGTACAAAGACAGAGTTGAGAATGTGAAGAGGTTGTTCAACTTCCCAAAAGACAGTCTTACCCAACTGCTTGTAAGATTTTAGTTGTCTATCAGTGACACTGTGAGCTCTCTGGGTCACCACTTGCCCTGGTTGCAGCCTGCTCAATACAACACAGCATTTTTCTAAAAAGGGTTAAGTGGAAAATAAAGAGGAACAATTAAGAGGAAAACGGCTGATTAATGAATTAACTAGTTTTAAAATGAGAGGTTGAGTTATGCCGGGAAGTCTCGACTTTCTTATTTCTTAAGTTAAACGAAAATTTTCTTCGGAATTAACAAGATATGTGACAACCAACAAAGATTGTCAGAGAAACGCATACCAAGATATCCTAACACAGTAGTGTAGGTATTACAAGAATCTCCGGACTGAATCAGTCAACACAAGTCATGTTCACGCCTACAACCACAATTAACAGTTTGATATATTTAAAGGGTTTCACTCTAAGCGCATTTGAATCAGATGATTGATTAACCTCAGGTGGGGAACTTTTCATGTCCGAAAAACCTAATGAAGAAGAATCTGAGGCAGACATTGTTAGATCATTCACATATGTGCGTCGGTGGCACAGTGGTTAGGACTCTCGCCGACCATGCACATGGTCCGGGGTTCGATCCCCTGCCGGCGCACACCCGATATCTATGGTCGGCCTGAATTTGGGCTACGATATCCATGCTGAAAATTCCACACTTTATGAAAATACGTGTGGAATCAAGCTGTAAAAAATAAATGAAATTATCTTTCGAAGAATGCGTAAAGTGAAAGAAAACAGAAGTCGAGGGAGTACAGTACTCTGAAACACAGAAGCTTATGTAAGAAATGAAGTGAAGCCTTGCCTGGAAAAGACATGGTACAGTAGAACATGAAAAAGAAATCATCGAAAAGAAAACTTTTCATCGACCAATCAGTGCTTAATTTTTAATTTGACAACTGATTAATTCTGTAGAGGGAATAATAATGAAAGTACTTCATTCGTTGGTGTGTCTTACCCTTTTTTATATGTTTGATGTTTTCGTTTTTACTTAAAGGTTGAATCTAAAGGCTCTGTTACAGGAATTGAAGCCCATGAACAGCTGACTAGAATCAATGTAGAGAATGTCAAAAATTGGATGGCTAAAAGCGATAAAGCAGACACTCTAGGCTTAAAATTCGGGGCGCCATTTCACTTTTTAACTGGTAGTAAACCAGAAGATCAAGTAACCGGAAAAGAATTTGATGCAATTTATTTGCAGGGAGACGATAGACGTACCGTTGAGGTGGTAAGTTATTGAGTATTTTGTACAATCAAACTTCCTGAATGCTACCAAATAATGTTTACTGATAAGCCAGTCATTTAGATACAATCAAACAAGCTTTATGAGAAGAAGACTATTTGAATAGAAATTATTGAAACAAGAATCCTAGAGTGTGGTATTATTTCTTCTGTAAAGGTGGATGACATTTGAAATCACCCACCATACTTCAGTCCTACTTACTTTTTGTTTTATGTCACTGTATGATGCAAACAGGCTCTAATGAAAACATTTCACGTCATCCTGTGAAGCGTTTGTTACTTTGTTCTGTATTCTCAAGAAAGATATAAAATCAGAAAAGAAGTGTACTTTCTGTCTTTTAGTTGAACACTGGTTGGTTCCCATTTAACACACTTTAGTTGAGATTCGAATGGTTAGTTGCTTAAAGCTGAAGACTATATATAAATTTACGGAAGATGATTATGTAAAATATTGCACTAAAGACAAACTGTATCACAGGATATGAATATCAAGCCTAATCCCCTCAAAAATAAGTATAACTGATATCTCTAAGTAGTTGATCGCTTCTGTAACTTTGAAATGTATTCACAGTCGGTATTGAAACAATTATGTGAAAGACACTGAAAACTCAGAGAAAGTGTTATTAAGTAGAAATTATTGGGTGCATTTAATATGCTGAACTTTGCATTTAAAACTAATTTTAATGTTGTTTTGTCTTACTAACGTCACTTACTAAAGTCTTACTAAAGAGTCACGATTGGAAATTAGCAGTGCCTCGATGTAATTTCTATTCTGAAATGAAACACTACGATTTACGTTAGTGGAAGCTTCGAGAAATCTTTGAAAGAGTATTACTGCTGTTTAACAGATCCCTGGGAACATCCGCTTAAGACCGTTAATTCAGCGGCTTCAAGGGGTATTTGGATTTGTGTCCGAATGAAGATCTTACTGCCGGTTAAGCATCGCCGCAGAATATGCCATGTTTTACAATTTTTGTGGTCCCTATTTTCTGAACTTCCCTTCCTTTCCTTAGAGCAAGAAAATAGTATAGCCGGCTCAAAACTACTTCTCCCGTCGGGACTGTTTAAGATTAGCTTAATTTAAGATTCCGACAGCTATGTTAACAGTGACGAATTTCGTTGGATTGAAAAAAGTTAATTGCAGCAAGATAGAGACCTCCAACTTTTTTTTATCAAAGAGCTCAGCATGAATATGATCGGGTTAGTCTTTCAGATGCTTATGTTTTCGAACCCCGTCACAGTTGACTTTTGAATTTCAAGTTCATTTATTACCCCTTCCATACACAAAATTTTACTTAGTTTGATATCCTTCCACATTTAATTCATTTCTTATTTTCTGATAAGCAATTACATACTGAAAATTAACGTAATTTGCTATCGTATTGGCCAGAATTTTCTTACTCGAGAAAAGTCATAATATTTTGTTATTTGTCTAATTGTCTTAGTTAAAACAACTTTTGAAAGTTGGCGGTCATTTTGTTCATATGAGAAGAACTGGAGAAGGAGATGTTGAATTAGTTAAGCTAATTCGACTGAAGACTACCAAATTCTATGAAACAGTTTTGGCTCGTATTCCATTGGATGTGCCTACTAAAGAAGAGAAACCAACAGAAGAAGAATTTTCAATTGACCATTAGTAAGCTACAGTTATATATGTGTATTACTGTAATTCTTTATCTTTCTAATCAATTCATGGTATTTTCACAGTTTTTTTGTGTGGAATGGTTGTGTAACCGCTGATGTATTATTATTATTGTTCCCTTGGGTTCCTAATGGAACATAGCGATTCAGCTACTCGTTTCCACTTGCTTCTGTCTTCTGGTGTACTTTTCACCTGCGTCCATCCATGTTAGTCCATAGTCTTTCAGCTCCTCTTCACACGATCTCCTCCATGTCACTCTTGCACTGACGTCCCACTCGCCGCTTCCCTTTCGGATTCCACTCGAGCTATGGCCTGACGCGCGATGTCACCAAGCGGCCTCCTCACCGAGTGACCAATCCATCTACACTTTCTCCTGCATATTTGTTGGGCGATTGGTGCTTGTTTTGTTTCTTCCCATAGTTTCTTGTTGGTTCTTGTTCTTTCCGGCCATCTGATCTTCAGTATAGAGCCAGCGAAGACAGTTGTTGATAAAGGTCTATGACAGGCTGTTGGAAATATTCTTTGTCACCAGCCAAGTTTCTGATCCGTATAGAGGAACTGACTTGACGTTTGTATTGAAAATCCGAATCATTTTGTTGTTGATGCTGAGTGACAGCGGAAGATTTCCAGATTGGTTTCAGGTCGATGAATGTGTTTCTCGCCTTCCCGATTCTCGATTTGATATCGTCGTCCGTTCCTCCTGTAGTTGAGACAATGCTGCCTAGATAAGTGAATAAAGTAACATCTTTCAGTCAATTATAATAGCAAGGATAAATTCATTCGAGTGTTGATTTAGTCTAAGTAATGGTGAGTGCATAGGTAGAATTTGTATATTCTTAGGGGTAGAGGAGGAAACAACTGCTGTCATGCAGCGATTAGATAATATATTATCTAAAAGTGTTCTGAGTGCTCTTAATATTTAAGTATTGGTTTTATAGGGATTTTGTTTGATTGGTTGGAGGATTTTATCATGAGCTGACATCAGTTAAAGAACCATTGGAAAACCAGCTGGGAGTACTGGATAGCTGTTTCGCCCTAGTTTAGGACTCTTCTTTTCAGTACGCACCCACCGTATGCCATGAACTGACAGAAGTTAGAATTCATGAGCCAATGGATCAGGTCCAAGTGGCTTAATGGTATATAAGCTTGCCTTGTAACAGGAAGTTCCTGGGTTCAAACCATGGTGGCGGGTGCGTACTGAAAAGAAGAGTCCTAAACTAGGGCGAAACAGCTATCCAGTACTCCCAGCTGGTTTTCCAATGGTTCTTTAACTGATGTCAGCTCATGATAAAATCCTCCAACCAATCAAACAAAATCCCTATAAAACCAATACTTAAATATTAAGAGCACTCAGAACACTTTTAGATAATATATTATCTAATCGCTGCATGACAGCAGTTGTTTCCTCCTCTACCCCTAAGAATATACAAATTCTACCTATACACTCACCATTACTTAGACTAAATCAACACTTGAATGAATTTATCCTTGTTATTATAATTGACTGAAAGAGGTTACTTCATTCACTTATCTAGGGAGCATTGTCTCAACTACAGGAGGAACGGATGAGGATGTCAAATCGAGAATCGGGAAGGCGAGAAACACATTCATCAACCTGAAACCAATCTGGAAATCTTCCGCTGTCACTCAGCATCAACAACAAAATGATTCGGATTTTCAATACAAACGTCAAGTCAGTCATTCTTCTATACGGATGGATCAGAAACTTGGCGGGTCACAAAGAATATTTCCAACAGCCTGTTGCAGACCTTTATCAACAACTGTCTTCGTTCTATACTCAAGATCAGATGGCCGGAAAGAATCACCAACAAGAAACTATGGGAACAAACAAAACAAGAACCAATCGCCCAACAAATATGCAGGAGAAAGTGGAGATGGATTGGACACTCGCTGAGGAGGCCGCTTGGTGACATCGCGCGTCAGGCCATAGCTCGAGTGGAATCCGAAAGGGAAGCGGCGAGTGGGACGTCAGTGCAAGGGTGACATGGAGGAGATTGTGTGAAGAGGAGTTGAAACAGTATGGACTAACATGGACGCAGGTGAAAAGTCCAGCAGAAGACAGAATCAAGTGGAGACGTGCAGTTGAATCCCTATGTTCCACTAGGAACCCAAGGGAACAATAATATAATATAATAATAATACAACTTGATAACTGACAACAAGATTTTAAAGCGAAATAGAAAAACAGACCTTGGTTTCGTAGTTGAATGTTGGATTACTGTAGTGCAGATTTACTCTTTCCTTCTTCTCATTTACACTTTAATAACAGTTATTATTTTTTGAATGTGATGTGATTCCACTTCTTTGTTAGATGAATTTTTTAAAATCTTAAAGAGCACTAATAACACTTTTATTGACTGGTTGATTCTCACTATTTACTGTCCTTAGCTCATTCAAGATGTTAGTATGAGAAATGATTCATCGCTTTTATTATTACTCTGTGTTTTCATTTCAGCACTCTCGATTTCGACGAACTACTACTTGCATCAATTCAGATAAAGCATATTCCAGATATTAAAGTAGTCCTACTGTTACTCGTCTGCACTGTTACTATCTCGTTCATCAGATTATTTTAATGAACAGTGTACCGTTCAGTGCTAAGTTTCATTGAAACCAGAATTACTCCCCAGTCTAGAGTGACACTGGAACTCGAACTTGCCGAATAACTTGTTCATTGTTATTTAACACTTTATTCCAAGTCACTAACATTCGACCCTTCTCAGATTCATCATTATCGTTCACTTACATATATATATAGACCAAGGTGATACATACTTTGTTTAAGTCATGTCATTTCTTGTGCGTCCCTTGCTATTTCATCGTCAGTAACTTTGCATTAACTATACGATGGTATTTGATATTTCGCCTTAATTACAACACTCTCTAACTGCATTACCTCACGGATACTTCTGCATATTATGTTTGTGATTGTGAGTGTACTAACGGCTTCCAGAACCTATTTTTTATGCTCAAGGTTTATTTGTAGTCTTTATTTATCCAATTAACTTAGTAATATACGAGATATCATCAGCGGTCTAAGTGTATTCACAATTATCTTAACATTATAAATAAAAACCCAACTCAATAAGTGTTAGCTAATCATTATGTTTACTTGTTTCAGACTAAGTTAAACTTTTCTGTTATTTTTCCTGCTGTAAGCAGTTTACAATGTTAGCACAGTTCAAAAAGGGTCAGAATTTAACTATAAATTTATTATCTTTCACTACTCTGTTAGTGCTTTTTGTACTGGTCAAGTTATATCAACTTTTTAAGAATAGTCGACTCACGTAGAATCTGTTGTATCTCTACTTTATTTTCTCCTCTGAGTCTTATGTTCACACGGACCAAATAAGCCTCAGAATAATTCTACAAGTAATGTTGGAACATGTAGGAAATTGATTTTCAGCCGATGAATTCTTGCGAAATGTGTGCACCACTAATTGACATGAGTAGTTTAGAAGTATGCATAGGAATCGTATTCATGCTGACCAGTGGTCTGATTGACTTACTGACTGAGTTTCAACAAAGAAGTCTGAAGACAAATGCAGCAATTCAACTTGCCACACTTCATGTAGCACACAAAGGTAAAGAAAAGAGAGGGAAAAATGTAATTAGAAAGGGCTATAATTATCACAACCATACAGGAAGAAGAGTACAAACATAGAAGAACTTGAGGGTTTAATAGTAGTGGGAGGTTACAGTCAGTGAACGAATTTGCCTCAATGAGAACGGTTTTGAACCATGATACCAATAGTCTCTAACCATTGGTTCCTAGCATACTGAGGTTTCCAGCCAGGTAGTCCACATCTCACTACATGGCTAGCTCAAAACGATTGTCATAGAATTCACGGATTGATGCCAGGTTTCGACTGACCATCCCCAACTATTTTTTAGTCTCATTCTATATCAGCTAGATTGTTATTCAAGAAAAGTGATGGCTCAGCATAAGCAACACATATTCTGGCCATCTCAGTCGATTCACTTTCACAACATCATCGACTGATTTGCCCTTCCTTACCTGGGAGTCTACGCCTAACCACAGTATTACGCACCATGTTGTTCCACTTAGCAAGGGTGATAGGATGCAAGGGCATGTAATTTTTTCATATCCTCTGCTTTCAATGGCCATGTCTCACAGCCATAAAGGACGACATAGTGAAGTGCTCAAACAAATAAATCATTCTCATTCATCGAGTTATGGGTAACTACTTGAGGGAAATACAAAAAAGCCAAGTAAAGTTTTGTGGGATATACAGTTCGACCGAGCAGCTCATAATACTTTCTTTGGAAAATGGAAAGCACTCAGATCAGAATATTTTAATCGCTTGAAACTGAAAGTGACATCCTTAATGTAAGTGTAAAGTCTCTCCAGTAATACCTATAACCTAACTTTCTAACCTACTTTCATTTACTGGGCATTTTATTTATATATTCATCTGTTCTGACTAATAGACTAACGCATATACCACTGCAGATTCACTTACGAGAACGCTGACTGTATTTAATGTACATCCATGCATTATTTTTTTTACTGTCACTATATTCAATGTGGAAAATAGACATAACCAACTTTTTTTAACCAACTTCTGTATTCTTAGAATAGCACATGACGAAGATTGGCTAATTAACTCACAAAACTGTTTGAAATCTTTGTATAACGAACATATTCACGCTCCATATTTGAATGGGAGAGAAACCGTAACGAGGTGAATGTCCCTCGGTGTATGATGACTGTTTATGGAATATCAGGAACTCTTGCAATCGGTGAGTGAGATGTTGTAACGACAGCTGGCAAGACACGGAAGCCAAAGTTCATTATCATTGATCAAACCGCTGCTTACATGTATATGTATTAGTTTATATTCTTTGATCAATCACTGAGCGTGTGATTTCAGTTTACAGCAAACGAAATGAAGTAGAATGTTCAAATAAACTTAGAATTCTGTTGCTAATGCCTAAGTGAACTGTGGGAATATGTGAGAATAATATTTCGTTGGCACGCATTGTCTGTATCACACCAGCACAATATGACTATGGAATATAGTCTATATTAACCTTGTGACGAATAATTGTCAAATATGATTCACAGAATCATTTAGTTCGAGGACAAATAATGTGTCACTGTGTATAAAATATCAGTAATTGATTTCTCAGTTTATTTTTAGATCATCACTTAGTTAACTTTGCACAGATGATAATTTTGTCTTACAAGTACACTTTGACAGAACAGATTATACGGTGGAACCTTTTCTCCCTTATCATCAATATGATGAGAGAATGTGATTATATTTTATTCAAATAAAAGATGTTGCTTCATAATGTTGGTGACGATGTAAGCAAATGAATTCCAGGACCTTTGTCAAAGCAAAAATAACAAGAATTGCAGCATAAGCTGTGCATATTTTACTATTTTCATGCTTCTTTTCAACTGCAGACAGCCTACATATGATTAACAAAGTGAGAATACACCATTTTATTATTACTCTGTTATCAGCGTATTTTGCATTACAGTGATAGTTTGAATAAACAATACAAAAAATGCTGAATGACAGTTTGAAGATGACTTCCCACTTAATAAGTAATTGACAACAAATTGATACTAATCGTATTTATTTCTTCAACAATATCAATTTAATGCGTGAATATCCAGTACAGATGATTTACAAACTTACCTTCTAGTGAATCGATTCAACAACAACAGTAGGCAAAGTGAATGAACACCTGAGAAGCATATTTCTAGTGTTGTAATACAGAAACAGGGAGTTATTCCCTTCGTTAGCTTTATGCTCACATGAATTTGTTAGACGCTGGAGAGGGTCGTAAACTTGAAAAACTGTGTCATAATATGACTCATTTTGAATTCTGTTATCCTGTGAAAGTATGTCTCTTGTGATCAGGCAATAAGCTGACTAACGACAACTAATCTGTGTGCAAACAGCATGCAGAAGGCTTCAATTTACCTGTAAGCGATCCTCATAACTCCAGCAATCCATCACCTATAGTCATCAGAACTAATGAGAAGCCCAAATCAACTTATCTTCTCATAGGAGAGGCTATCAGTAACAAACATAAAACCAATAGTCAGACAGCTTAAAAAGTACATAATTCCTCTGAAGGTGGATAGTAGTGCAGTCAACATTCTAAGAAGTACTGTGTTTTTCTGTTGACTAAGAATCTCAGCTGTACTGTTTTCTCGAAGACTAAGACTCTTTAATATCCCTGAGTGAAAAGCTTTCTAAATTCTTGTGTAGATTATCTATTCTGGCGAGGTAACAGACATTAGTGAATTTTGTGTTAACATACTGCACTCTCTGTCTTCTTTTAACTAATCCCAATTTTCAGTTTTAGAGTGTTTATCTGTTTATTACAATAATTGTTTTAGAAGCAACAGAAATCTCCATTTATAGATTTATAAAATCGGTTGTTGGAATAAATACGGTTAAGAGAGAATTTGACTTTAAACAGTGTGGCCACACGGTATCAACTAACACGAAACACTAGGTACACGTTTTATCGATGTGTCAAGACAATCAACAAATATGTCAGCTGAAGCGTCCTAGAATTCGCAGGGCTCATCAGTGTCAAACAAGAATAACGTCATTTAATTGTTCAGAATGAAGCTATAGTAAGTCTGTTTCTATCTCCTTAACTTGATGTTTCAATTTTGATTGTTGATATCATATTTTATTTAATGGAACCATTGGATTCTTTTCACTCTAAATTGGTGAAATCATCGCTCATTTATGCTTGTGTTCACAGAGTTCGAATTTATCTACATAACTTCGACTGATTTTTTAATGGTTTAGGCGATATTTCCCCTTGTGTCTCTCGATATCTCCCTCCTACCCTAGTCCTTCATTGAGAAACTTCTTACCTCCTGTTCTATGTTTTTATTTTCTAAGTGAACGGTTGTATTGCAATCTAGCTACTTCGATTACTCAAGTGTTGAGGAGTTGATAAGCTAGTAAAGAAAGAAAAGTGAAACGTTTCGTCTTGTTGCGGTGGTTGTAACTGCTTTGTCCATTTTTATCAAAAGAAATTCGTTCACGATGTATAATTTACGACGTACTGTTCAGCTATGAATATATATATATAAATATTCAAAGCTCTATCTTAGCATACCTTGTAGATAGTGAGCATAAGGTAAAATTATTTATCGGATTCCTACTAATCTTAATTTTGCTTTACGAGTTTGCCTTCTAAATACAGCTGAAGCAATAGGAATCCACCTAAAGAAGCCAAACCTGTGTGTGTATTCAGAATAAATTTGTACGGCCACTTTCCTTACCTTGGCCATCGTTACATAAATGTATAAACCGGAATACTTCGCTCCATCCCCCTAGAGCTTTAGAAATTATAATTGTCCAGATTATTTTATTATTTTTCTGATTACTTTATCTTTAATTACATGTTATCTTCGTCCAAATTATTTTGTTCTTATGACTACTTCAGCCTTAGTTACAAGTTATCATTGTCTAAATCGTTTTATTTTCTTTAAAAATCCGTTACGTAATCAACCTATGCACACATTTATTCCTTAATTACTCTTCATTTTTCCAAAATTATGCATTATGCAATCCACATGTTGTCACCATTTCTACCTTTTAATTGTGTTATCACCCCATTGACATTTCGGCACTGACTAATTATTGTTAACAAACATATCGCCACTTGATTGGTAAATTGTTGTGTATTGTAATAAAAATGCTATATATATTATAGTAGAGCCAGAGATGAGGATCTAATTAAAAAGTAAATATTTCTTCGCTCAATCCTTCTGCTTTCTGAACAGACGGATTGAGTGAAGAAGTATATCCCCTTTCAATTTGTTCCTCACCATCGTCTCTACACTAATGTATAGTTTTTTACATCACCATTTTTACCAACCAAAAGTTTATTTTAGTTAATTAGTTTTACGTGTAGGTGGGTGAAATTAAGGGGATAAAAAGTCATTAAAAAAATCAACTAATAGACGTTAGTAAAAAGACATCTAAGTTTTGAAAATGTGGTGGATATTAGTTACGGAATCCAAGATGAGTTAATTGTTAGGCGGTAGCACTAAGTAATTACATAATCAAGAAATTTGTAAAATAGCAATGATGACTAAGAAGAATAGGATGACTAAGAGGAATTACGTAAAATACAAACAAGTCAATTGAATTAGCTAGAATTGTAAAAATAACAAGGTCAAAAGAT